ATTTAAGTATCCAAATGTTATATACAATTTTAAAGTTTACTGGCATTTTAAGCTATATTTCAATTATATGTAAAATTATGTTGGTACACTTACTATACATTATTCGGTGATCGAGGTGAGTAATGACGCTTCAGATAGTTAGTAGAATATGTTTAACCGTATAAGACTTGTAAATGTCTATTATTAGTGTTATAATGTATACCGATAAAACTTTCTTCTAATGTCAAATACGCAATGAATCAGAATTTCTCTACCAAACCATGTGTATTATGATCGAACGTTATTACTGACAGAAATGCAATTAGAAAAACTTAAAATTGTTTGTCGACACGTTTTAAATTGTGATTGACGGACTGCTACGCAGTGCAAATGAAAACCTGTTCATAAACAATTTCCGTTAGAAAATGATATACAAACAATGGTTCCTACGAAACAAATTAGTTTAATGAGATCATAATTACGAATGACCTTCAGTTGATTACATTTTGTATTATTTTAGTTAGTTGATTAATTTAGTAAAACCGTTGCCTATGGTGTTTTAGGTCAACGTTATTGTTTCCTGCCTATTTTCATTTTAGACTCCCAGTTTTCAAAACCCATACAAAATACAACCGCACCAGCTGAAGTCAATGGAAGACTCATGTCAATTTACTGTCATTCCCGACGATGTGTCAATAATCATTTTCCATTATTAACGGCCCAGGTCAACGGCAAAAAATTTTGCCCCCAACACTGTTGAACTTTCAAACTTTTAGATCACTATAATTCAATTCAAGTTGCGTAATGTGATAAAACGCAACAGTTGTTGGTAGGTCGGCTTAACCTACATGTACAACTGATCAATGATGACGTCATTGATAACATAATGCAACTAGCCATTTATTTTGATCGTCATTTGTGAAGGGAACAATTCCGTCAATTTGGTAATAAATATGTCGTAAACGAATAATTAAAGGTCGCTGAAATTACATCAAAATATTGATTTCCGACTCGGTGAGTCAATAAAAAAACAAGGAGTAAATTTAAAAAAAGCTTAAATGAAAATATCATCTAAAAGTCACCAATTTCTTTGAATAAATTGATGGGTAATAAGCCATGTGAAAAACGGTGGGATGGTGTACTATTTTAAAATGTCAGGACAAGCAGCCTGTAAGATCTGTTTATCTGCAGAAGGTTGCACAACGACGCAAAATGTTATTTTGATTTCATGTATAATGCACACTTAATGTCAATCAAACAATCAAAAACAAATGCGAGCATAGTGCCTCGAAACATCCTATAGTCAACGACTCTGAATGCGAAACATGGACCCCTCGTATATTTCGCTGTTATGAGATAGCACTTCATAACTGAAAATATTACGGTATTGTTTTAATGATTGCATACACATCGACAAGATTTCTCTTTCTCCTAGTCACATGTCAACAATTTTCTGCCAATCAATCGTTATAATGATAGTCACCAACCCTTCTGTATTTACTTATGCTGGCACTTTAGTAGACGGTCAGTTTAAAAAGCCACATCTTCATAATTCTGCCCACGGCTCTTCGCAAAAGCATTTAACTGAACTTTTTTGTTAGGTATGTTGTTGATATGTCAACATATTAAGCAGGAGTGGAGCTGATGGTTGCATATGATGGTCTTCATAATTCTGCCCACGGCTCTTCGCAAAGGCATTTAACTGAACTTTTTTGTTAGGTATGTTGTTGATATGTCAACATATTAAGCAGGAGTGGAGCTGATGGTTGCAATGTTCAAGCTTACGACAAGGGAACTACCCAAATGTTTAACTTGTGATCATCATGTTCTCTATGTAGCGAAGAATATGTTTACCCAAAGTTAGATATAGAACAATTTGACTGTTGGTATTTGGAGTTATTGTTTGTGAAGACGATTTAGTTATGGTAGAGAATGTGGATTTAGTAAGGTATTCGAGCCTTGCAAATTGTAGCCACTCATTGTATGCCACACAATGTTGCACAATATTCCAAGGACGTTGTTTCATAGCTCATATTCTTCTACAGCAATTGATCAATGTAATAATTGACCATTGTGATCATCAGTGTTGGTACTTTAGCAGCTCCATACCTCCATACCATATCTCATGAGTAAAAAAAAAATCCACAAAATGTACACAGTCGTGTTGTCATATGTAAATTAACGTATTTATATGTTTTAAAATATAGAGAATGTCAATAAATTTTAAACAGAGCCGTCAGTTTAAGCCAAATCTCACAGTGTAAAATTACAAAGTGAAACAGTAGCCAGATTGAGTGTCTAATAATATAAACAACATACAAACAATTTCCCATGTTGATGCAATTTCCGGCTTTAGAGGGAAATTAATTGCTCGTTTCCCATTTTCTACCATAAAACAGCAAAAGAAATAGAACAAAATACTATAATAAATGTCTAGTTAGAGAAACCCGAACTTGCAGAAAAACTAAGAGAGAGCGTTAAGCAAAAGGAGTGAAATGAGAGAGTCACAACACGAAGAGTTTCCCCATGTCTTACAAAGCAACACATGTTTGCGAGGTCCGCGTGATGCAGAACACTGTTAAAATAAATAGAGAACTGACAATCATGAACACTGACGTCTGTGATACCAGGTGTCCGGAATGAGTAAGCATACCTTGCTGACTGGTCACACCCATCATGATTGGTCTCGTATTATAATACATGTCAAATAATAATAATAATTTTAACAAGTCGTAAGTGATCTATATAGAGGCGTAGTTAAGAATAATGTCTCGTATAATTTTCCTAAAAGACAAGTCGTACTTGGTAATTATCTGTTCGTATCTTCCAAAAAACTTTTTTTTTCAAGAACTTAGACTTGTATACACTTGCTTAACTAGCTTTGTCGCTAGCGTAATAACCTTATTATTATACATCTTTTCCCTTCAAGGATACATCATGGAAATGCCGAAATCCAATAAGTTTAGAACAGAATCAGCGAACTTCTTTGTATGGAGTCCGGTCAAATCCAGGTGGCAGCCATGTTTTTTTTTATTACTAGAGAACGCTTACGCGCGTAATCATTCCATATTTGGAATTCGCATTTCCAAATATGGTAGTATGAAAATACCCCGTAAAATAACGCAAAATTACGGCACGCTGTAACTTATGGCGTTACGGTGACAGATGTATAATAATAGAAAATAATCATAAGATCTACATGCTCTATAATATCTTAAAAGTTGAGACATGTGTACACTATATGCTGCACCTATAAGAGAATGTTACTTGAAAGAAAGGGAAAATTTTTAATTTACAAATCGCAATCACACCCCTTATCATGCACGTTTAACTTAGTATGTAAACCAGTAAATATAACGCAGTGCAGGCTAGACATTTAACCTACTATAATACTGTCTCTGACTCAACTTCTTTGAACACACGACGGAAAATATGAAAAGAGCTGTATAATGCCATTTTTTTAAAGTCTGAAACGGTAGACATTTCACACATTATACCACATTGTCCTTACAAGACTAATAGCTGAGTTAAGGTTTTCTGTCTTGGCAAATGTTACAGTATTCAATTTCCTGTATAATCAACCTATTGACGCGCAAATAAACACTATTAATTATAGCAATTATTGTAGTAATTAAAGGTGTCTAACCTCAAGAGATTCTGCATCATTAATTATTATTTCTTAAAATATTTCAAATTTGAAATGATAAAACATGATGTTTTAATTAACTTAGGGAAACTGGAGGCTACTGGAGCGTTATGTCCAGCAGTTACACAAATACGATAATAAATAGATGAACGCAACAATCAAGACTAAACCGAGCCAAAATACGTAACTTTACGTTACTATCAAGGAAGTTGGGAACATGATCAGAAATACTCACACTGGCTGGTATGTGACCAATGACAAACAGGGCAGCAGTATAGTGTTTGTCACGAAACTTGGAAATATATTGAAGGCATACTAGTTGTTATAAATATTTTAATTTTATAAATAATTAAACACAAAGTTTGCTATTCAAGTAATGAGTGTAATGTAATACTTATTTCTGTTTCAGAAGAAAAGCTATATTTTGAAAAAGGCAATAGGGTCAACCCTATTTACACCGTCACTAGTGATGTATGTAATGTGGAAATGTCTGATAAATTAGGTGTCGACCAGAAACGCTAATCTACAAAATACATCACTGGCCCGACGTGTTGTGTTCAGTGCTTCCGGGAGTCGGACTAGAGTACTGTCATGTAGAGATGAGGCGTTCATTAGTTTTGTTGATATAAATACATTCCCAAGATATCCTGTACCATATATTAGCTAGTGTTTCATGTTTTACACAACAAACACCAAAATAGAGATATATGTCCGACTTACAAAATGCCCATGAATAAAGTGTGAATCATATTTTTTAAAAACACTTTAGATATTCGTTTTATTTAACAATGGAATACGCTTGTGCACGGGTTGTAACAAACAATATCAATCATTGTAGGTTTCGTTTTTCAACAAATACTGTTAAGCGTCCTGGAAATTAAATAATGTTGATACATCATAATTTGATTCGGTCTACAGTATGGAGTATTAAACAAACTATTAAAAATACATATTTTCGTGCATATTGCACGAACGTTACACAAACCACAATAAAACAATATTAACCAACGTACATAAACAACACATGGTCAAATCGGTAGCAGAATGGTACATGAACCTCAAAGAATACAAGGTTTCTGAAAAGAAATAAATTCTAGTTCAGTCTTGCGCGCTTTAGAATTAGAAAGAAGAATTAGAATCGCAAATTAGAAATATAGATTTTTGAATTAATTGCTGATATGAAGCTCTGTTAGACCCTCTCGTAACCTTGGGCCGTAATTGGCATGAGTTATAAAAACACACTTGCGCTTGGGGGATATCATAATTCAGTTAATTGCCAAGTAATTAATTTTGTCATAAATTAATGCTGTCATGAGTTATTAGCTGTCGATCCGTGCTATATAAACTCAACAGAACATCAGTAGACTCACATCAGTTCCTGACTCATTAGTAAACCGTGAATACCTGTCTCTGTCGTTACTATTTCACAAAGAAGCGAGAGGTAAGTCTTACCGAAACATTGTGCAATATATAGCAAACCCACGATTTCCATCGACGTTTAAAGAACACAACGTTGCACTGTAGAATATTTTTTTTCAAATCATTGTTCGTTATTTGTAGAATCATCATGTCAACAAAACTGTTCGCAATCCTGTTTGTTGTTATGGCTGTAATTGTGGTGCAGAACACCGAGGCATCGGCTACTGACAGGTTCTTCAAGAACGCCGGTTCTAAACCAATTGTTAAAAGGGAGTTAGACTGTAAGTACTTATCGCTGTTCACACTGATACATATGCTTTTTTTCTAGATATTTAGTTACTTTATTCAACATGCGCCACTTGTCAACTACTTTTAACTGACCCATCTTGATGATCCGTTGGCTTTTTATGAATATTCCTCCCTGCTACTTGTTGTGCTTCCACGTGTACCATTTGTAGCCAAATGTGATTTTAACATTACGATTCTCCGTTTTCGACATTGTGAAATCTTTTCGTTTTCATGGAAAAAAAATACAGTATGTAAAACATATTTATTAAAAATATTGTTCATACATAAGTTGTTGAACAAGCTACATATTCAAGTTCATTCTGAGACTGTTGATTTTAGTCGTAAAAAAAGACAAGAGAATTGCAAAAATATTCTTCAGTAATAACATGTAATCGGTATTTTTAAATTTGTTTTTTACGTTGGCTATACATTGCTTACAAATAATAACTGAAATATATTGTCCATTTCTATCTCAGTTTGCTACATGGAAAATTTGAAGATGTATTGCGACTGTGGCACAAAGAGTGTGTGTATGCCAGAGTAAGTTGAAATGTAACATTATATATATATACTAATAATTATTGTGTGAACAGCCTTTATGATCTCTAGAAAACGTGACGAAGATAAATTGCGCCACGTTCTTCAATCCGTCGAGCGTCAGTTTTGGAACTAAATTGTATACATGTATATATCCTTCATTGTCAAGCTGTAATTTACTCTCGGGCGTAGTTTCTGATTTTAATTATGGAATAATTAACGATTTAGCAATTTGCTATGATTAAAATATCTGGTGAAAATGATAAATTATAATGTATAATTGGTCAATGTTTATTATTATTTCACACATTGAATAAACCATTGTCCTTTTGGTCGAGTTGGTCGAGTACGTTTGGATTTCCTGACATTTCGTCACAGTAGTATGCGTGTCATGGTAGCATTCAGTGTCCAATCTATTAATTTGTGTTTTTGTTATTCTTTCAGAGGTGCATTTCTTGGATAGACGGCACGCGGCAATTCGACGTAATCGCATGAATTGCTCTAAGCCTCGGCATTCCAAATGTCTACAATTCTACATCATCTCTTTATTATAAATAAAACGGCACGACGTGCCATTGAGAGTTTGTTTTGGAGGTCTTTTATTCTTACATAGTAGTTATATTGTATTTAGTGTCTGAACGATGATTTGCACGCATATACGAATGATGATCTTGCCTTCAGTGGTTAGACCTAGTTAACCCCCAAATGACTTGCGCTATCATCATCTTCTTCTTAATTTGCATGCAATGTAAAGGAATATCTTTCCAGTTTGTGAACACATGATAAATATCAAATTGTAGCAACAAGCATGGAAATGAAAGAGTCAAAGATTGTACGAATTTCTTCTCCAAATGTTTACACCTAATAAACAATTATTTAACAACACATGTGTGAAAATGTGGTTTATTTTCGACTCGGGAAAATCTGTGTATCGCATTGGTAGTTGAGAATATATTCTTGTCCAATTAAAGTGCATTTCAACTCAACGGTAAAGTAAAGATGATATCACTCATTCAAGTTCTTCGTTACAAATTATGATATTATGGTCGTTACCAGCTCGTGAATAATACGGCCTTGACGTCATGACAAACAAACAATTCAAACCTTATTCATTCCAACTTCAAATGACAGAGAGACACTCCTCCATGGAATTCCCTGCCACTATTGATCACATGCCAATTTACGATGAATGTACAAGTTTAAGCCGTGCAAGTAGATCAAGCAGTTACAGTCGCGTTACCAATCACTTCCACGTCATAATTACGTCACACAGTCATTTCGTCAATGGAGGGCGGGATGCAGAAGGTCTGTTACTGATGTTATCTTTGTGTAAAATATCGTATCGTCGCACGCGTACATTGCTAACTTCCATGAAATGAACAAGTTTAATATCGTGAAATTCCACACTAAAAACCACAACTGTGGATTGTACGAGTATGTCTAATAAATGGAGCGAAAGTACATAACAGACAATGTCTGATATGTGTAAATACCAACCACAGTTTAAACACGACGTATCGAGTCCGATAGTGTGAACAACAGTTAGAACCTTACTAACCTACGCAGACGAGTTATATCATTCTAAGACGAGTACGCTGAGGTTCTCGGTAGGAGAAATAAATGAATTGATATAATCAAAACAGTAAATTAATCTCAGTACTTTAGATAATCTTTAAAATGCAAAAGTATTATGTTTCCGTGATACGCGATAGACATTTAGTATGATAGACAGATAGATGATAGAAGACAATTCAGTTGCGAAAAACTTGGCAAATATTCTGAAAAATTATTTTAATTTGTTTAATATCTAACCAACATAATTGCAAACATTTATGATGTATAAATATGGTAATTTGAAATACAATAAAGAAAGACTGTTGATACTTCATTTTATCGGCCTCAGATTTCTGGATTAACACAGGTCGGTTTTGTATCAGGACAGAAACGTTAAAAAATGGTGAACTACCATTAAGCCTCAGTGTGTCTCAAACCTATGATGTCATAGTTGATGCTATTTGACTGTGTATGTCTTACTTTTGAAGTGGTGTGAAAATGATTATATGATTCATACATAGGTTTACATGACAGGAAAATAGTTTAAATTTTCCAAACCACAGATACATTTATATAAGGTGTAAAATGTTATCACCTGAAAGTGTATTTATAAGGTGTGATATATGTATCATATTATTCATGTTCTAATGCTGATGATATATATATAAGTATAATTAGTTTTGATATTATTCTATAAAAAAACAAAATAGCTTGTCTCATTCAATAACAAATCTATGATTCTCGTGTTATTAAACCTTAACTTCAGGTACCAGGGGATCGATACGTCACAGCCCTTTATCTAACAAAGACACACAAAGATTAAGAATACGTGTCAACTTCTAGTCTCAGTCGCCCGTCAAGACTCTCCAAGACAGAATGCCTCGGGGAAAGGTCCCCCAAGACTCTCTCGCTTCGTGGAGCCCTGTCAAGACTCGCCTCGCCTCGTGGAGATCTCCCTCATACTGACTAAGATTTGCTCTATTTACTTCTCAAACCTTAGCCAATTACAGGGGAGTTCATAAGCTTATGGCGTAGCCTCCAAACATTCAACACGCATGTAGCCAATCACAAGTATTTAACACGTCATGACACATTGATTAATTGCTCTCTATATTAAGAAACTACACATAGCAAATTGTCAGATTTAGTTCCAGTCACTGATTAAGGTTTCGTCCAGGACCTTGTATAAGCTTAAATGTTGACAGGTTATGAGAATGTGTTGAATAATATAAACCAGCTATTCACATGAACCAGGCTATCAAGTCGTATCAGTAACCTCTAGACACATAGAAACAAATCATGACAAATCACACCAACTTTACAATGAAGGATCCCATTTCATTATTTAGACACTGTTTTGATCTTTCGAACACATAAATTAACCACCCGGATATGGCGTAATGTTGCAGGTGGTCATAAAAATACAGTTCATTAAATATGCTTTCGGTGGGTAAGCAGCTTTACTGCTAATGTTCAAAATGGCCGTGTACATTGTGCTACAGTTGCTTAAATACCAACAATAAGGTTGTAATGCTACGAATGTTGACAAATCGTTTGTACTCACAGGTACGTGTATAGTTTTGCTGTGACAGATACACATTTTTCAAAGATAATTTTACATCATACCCACAGTGCTTTTACTAAGGAATGCGCATCAAATCAAGGTGTATGATTATTTGTTTCAATGTGACCTTGTAAACAAGGATGGTGTACGAAGATTTTGATACATATCAAAGGAAATGAAACTATATTGTAACTTTGTCCTTCTTTCTGGTTATCATTTACCAAATTCTGTTCAAGTTATGTTAATGGCTGTACATATTAAAATGCGTATGCATGATATAATGATATTATTATTAATATTATTATTATTATTATTATTATTATTATTATTATTATTATTATTATTATTAACTGTTGGTGCGTCATGAAATTTACCATACCATGAAAGCAATATCATGTAGCCGAGTGAATATACAACGAAACAGAAACATGATTATTTGTTGTATTACTGTGTATTTTCATATATACAGCCCAGCTCACAATTCATGGGTTGTGTACATATACACAATGAACAATGAAAGAAGAAGGGGGTAATTTAACAATCCTTTTACTCAATTCATTTGATAACCATCGGAATAACAAAAGCTAGTCATGGTCTCAGCAAAAACAGACATGTCATCGCATTTACGTTTATACCAGTAATGCGATTTGTCACAATAACTACGGTTTAATTTAGCAGCACACATACGGACATGACATAATAGTGAATATTGTTATTATTATTCAAATACTCGTTTATCAAGTACAACTGCATTGGAAAAAACTTCAGTGAGGGTTATGCCGAATCAATGCTTTTAATAAAATATTATTTTTATAAATCGGAGTTATAATTTTTTTTTCAGGAATTGAATTGCAATTCATATTTTCTGTTGACTGCTAATCTATTTATGGTTCTACTGTGCTGAGTTGTGTTCAGCATGAAACAAGTGCATAATCCGATTTGATTATTAAACATGAAGCTAAAGTTATATTTAGATTGTTAACTAGGCTTCAGATGGCTTTCATAGTTTTGTCGTTGAAGCTGTTGTAAATGGTTCTGTATTGGTGAACCAGTACAACAGCAACACTCATTCGCTCAAAGGTTTACTATGAACAGGGTAGGCCCCGGTTAGACATTTGGGCGTATCGGCAACGGTGTAAACACCTCGCACACACACCCTAAATTATGCAAATTTATGAAATAGTTACATTTCATCAATTTTAAAGGCAATGTAAGCTTAGTACGCAGTATATCACATGGTAAATAAATAAATATATCTACACGGTAAACGACGCTGGTGAAGCTGGTAGGTCAATACCAATTTAACCATTTAATTTGGTGTCTGTTTTTTCTATTTTAGACACAATTTACAGAAATTTATACATCTTTTTGTGGTGATGTGACAAATCATTATTCAAATTATTATAACAAACTTATGGTAGAAATATTGTGCTTACCCCAACAGGGAAATGGCTGAAACATATGGTGATGAAGCAGGGGGGTTGGAGATAGACCCTGAAGAACTTGAGGAGAAAGGAAAAACAACGTACGTCAGTCAATTATCTGTCATTGATCAGTATGTTTAATATTCAAATACACATGCTATGTGTCAGCTTTTATACAACTAGCACCGAACACATTTGAATTTGCCGTTCTGTAAAAAGCCAGGATATCAGTCCTCATACTGAAACATAACAAAACTCATTATAAGGTTCGAATGTTCCATTATGCAAAATATATCACCAACATTGACTCGTTCTAGGTTATTGACGTCGCAATCAAACACTTGCCTTTGTTTACATTGAAAGAAGCCACGTTATAGCGTGTTAGCAATAGACACCCCGTCATTCACGCAAACGTTCGCACGCACGACGAACAAGCGTCGTTCAGTCTCATTCTGGCCTAAAACTCTAATTAAATTAATATTACAAGCAAGAAAAAGATGCACAATAAGAAGGTTATCGCGAAAATACCGCAAAGTATACACTCGGGCAGTACAGGTGGCATCGACTTTCAGGTGTATACTTTGCGGTCTTAACCCCGTAGTATTTAATGTAATTGCCATTGTGGCCACGTGGTGCTGGAACACGCTATATTTATCTAATTCGCATTGTGCAGTGTTATTATGTGAACATATTGTATGGTTCACAATGTACCTATGATTGAGTAATATGGCATGGTAATAACATTTTTATTTCTACTCACGTCTTATCTGGAAAGAGTGTTCATACCAATTGCATGTTTGTTTGTTTCTGCAATACGTATATCATAGTATATCATATCATACGAATAGTATATGTTGTTATGATAAATAATTCAGTACAGCTTCACAGCGACCACACTTGCGTTCCTTTCATTAATGGCATAGTTTTATATCTCCTGAGAATATAGTAAACCATTTCAAAAGTTTGTATTCAATAATACTTCTCGAGTATAAATGTATTCGTTATAAAGTGGAGTTTGTTGGTAGCTAAACAATACCATCCAATTCGTATTCACTTTGTATGATACTGTATTGATATTTGTAAGCAATACTTACCATTCTGGTGATCAATTATTTATCCATAAAGATGGGACCTCATTAAGAAAGTGAAAGATCTGGCAACCAATGGAAAAGACAAATTGGTAAGTTACATTCATGAAATTATGGCTACTTAAAATTAAAGCCAAATACAAGTTTCAAATAAAAGGCCTTTAGCATACCTAATCCACATCTTATAATTGTATTATTCGGACATTTTCTAACTGGTTTTTAACATATATGTTCCATGATTGTTATTACACTATAACAACTGTAGTTATTTTGACATGTTATATAATACAGTTTATATATCTACCCTATTAGAATATATTTGAAGAACATTTCATAAAAATATCATCGAGATTAATCGATTCAATGTGCAATTATCGAAACAATTTGAATTTATTTTTTTAGTTGCGTGCGACATATATACACTGAGAACATTTCAAAATAATTTACTATATAGAACAACAATCCATGCAGCAATAACACTGAATATGCGAGTACAAACTGTGTTTTACAACCGTATCCGACTCAATTTACTCTGCGTTCAACATAGAAATACGCCTTTGGTCTGTTATAGTCCTCACCTGTGGTTGCCTTACACATATTTAAAGACTACGAGGAAATGCTTCCATTTGCTTAAATACCGCCGTCTAAAGCTAAAATTATTCATGTTTGCATTCGCATTTGTTGTAAAACCGTATTTTATTCATGAAATCTTATTTTCTGCACTGATTAACACAAATTTCAATCCCAGCATTCCATTGATACGAATCTATGTATTTTTTTTCATTTTAGAGAAATCTATGTTGTCCATTCACGCCTTCAGTGTTATTTGGCAGTATCCTAGCAACAATGGGCGTGACTGCCTTTGTTGGTACTATCACAGCCGTAGTTATAGTTACCAATCAAAACGGTGAAGGAAATGTGAATTCCTCATTGGGTAAGATCTATGACGTTATATCAATACAGAGTGACGTCACATGTCTGACATGGATCTCAGGTTTCCTATGTAATTCATTTGTTTATGACTGAGAATGACTCTAGACTCTCTGAAACGCTATTTCCTGCATTTTAAGGGGCAAAGAGTTTAGGCTGATTTTGGAGGGGCGGCGCCTCTGCCCTCCACCCCCTGTGCCGCCGCCACTGTTAATGTAAGGTACATGTGGATTGTTTAGTTTGTTGTTGTCTTTCAGTAATGGATTTGTAAATTTCCATATAACTTGTTCCCAAATAATTACGGCTGGTTATGTTATTGTTACTGACATTGTCGTTATTGATTTTGTTAGGTGTAATTCTTACACAATCGATATCAAACTTGTTGAATTCGGTTAACATAATTATTACAACTATGTACAGTTTTAGTTGTTATGGTAAATTCAGATGATGTGCATTTTACATATCACAAACCTTGTTCAGCTCATACGCCAACAAGGAATAGTCTGACTAATTAATTAATTAATTAGAATTATTATACATCTGTCACCGTAACGCCATAAGATACAGCGTGTCGTGATTTTGCGGTATTTTACGAGGTATTTTCATGCTACTATATAAGGAAATTTGAATTCCAAATATGGAATGATTACGCGCGTAAGCGTCCTTCAACAATAAAAACAAACATGGCCGCCACCAGGGTTTGACCGGACTCCACACAAAGAAGTTCTCTGATTCTGTTCTAACTTTTTAGATTTCGGTATTCCCATAAGGTCATTGCGAGGATACCTCAAATTATGCACTCAGACAGTACACCGTCGCAACGACCTCCGCTACTCGTCGGTGGATACTCGGACTCGCTGTACTGTCTTCGTGCATATGAATAAGCAATATCGATTTGACGTGCAACTTTTCTGAATAAAAATTCCTTCATTTCCAGTCAAATTGTCTTTCTTGGCAGATTTTCAGTTCCAACATTCCAGACAATGGTGCATAGATGTGCAAATATTCGACTTTTAAAACACCATTAAATTTCTGACTCTAAACTTTACTTGCAAAATTTCTGTCTTAGAAAAACTATTTATTTTTGCATGCTACTGTTTCGATATTCCAGGCACGTTTACAGGCATTCTTGACAACTTTTCCTGATAATCTTTCTACTTTGCTGTCAAGTTTCCCGACTTTTCATGAATCGTTTCTATGTAACTTTTCGTTCATTATATACCACTTTTCGACATTCCAATCATTTTTCTACATTCTTAGACAACGTCGGAATTCCGGAATTCTGGCATTCGACGCTTCTTCAACCTTCCCACTTCATTTTTTAATTTTCGTGATAAACTTTTAATTTTTTATTCAACGTGTTGACTTCCTATGTAATTCTTCCTTCTTTGCATGCAACTCCTCTGACTTTTCATAAACTTTTCCAAATTTAATTAAAGAAATTAAATTTGCACTGTCCCATTAATCTGTTTAACCAAGCATATTTTGGGATTTATTCCGGTCACCCATTCAGTAAGACACATGGGAATTTAACATGAAGTTGTTGAAGAATCGTTGAAACTCCAATATAACTATAACTGTAAGACAACTGTAATAAAACAAGCTAAATCACAGAATTCGTGAACAAAATGGCATATATCAAAACGCTATTCACAATTAGTTGTAATTTTCATGTGAATGTCAAAGGAAAGAAAACAATATGTTTCTATAAAACACAAGGTCCAGTTTCTGTATGTGAAGTGGTGTAACTCAAGACAGAAAATCACTCAGTGCGGATGGATGTATTTCGAACCAAAATGAGTAAACAAAAGTGCATTATGTCACTAAACCAGGAATCCTGGCCAAATGTACCCATGTTCGTTTTAAAGTTGTCACAAAACTAACGGGTAACGCGTATGTTGCAGTGGCTAGTTGCATTTGTGTGATCGTTAGTTCAAACGCCGCCCCGTGTGTGTTCAGTGGTTGTAATATGCCAATAATTAATATTACTTCCATTCGGGTGTTTGTCAGTATTGCTGGAATGGTCTTATCCCCTTTGGGGGTGATCGTGACTGGGGTAGGCTTTCTAAATCTGATATAATGGCTATACATATGAGCAGCACTATTGTGTATCTGCCATGTTAGAGAATCGATTTGCGTGTGTACGTCTTAGTCGCTGCAAGTACGCGCTATTTCAATCAACGTCCCCCTATGTTACTCTTATCATGATTTATATTTCAGTCAGTTTGACAGCGGTTGTCATGACATATACTGATAAAGGTTAATGACAAGACCAGATGGCGAGCTGGTCGAAATCAACCAAAAAACATCTTATGACTCTGCAGTTTTTAAGATACAAGACAGTAGCTGTAATTCTAAACCAATGTTGTTTGCGAGTTTAAAAAAGGTAGTATCTTGGTGGAATGTTAGTGCGAGATTATTACCCCATCAATATTAGTTAGTGTTGACAATGTATAGAAATGTTTTCTCTAGACAGCTTGACGAGTAATTAATTGATTATGACGTGTAAAACTTTCATGTGATTGGTTGTTTGTTGGAAGGCAAGGCCTTGGAGTCTCTTATACTGATTGTAATTGGTTAAGGGGTGACAAGAAATAAAGATGGATTTAATGCTGTCTCGGGTGAAAACCAGGGACTTGGCAGAGAATCGTTTTGGGAACATGAACGAAGCTTGTGTGTGTCTTTTGTTAGCCTAGCGTGGAAACGACCGAACCCCGGTTACCTAAGTGAAAGGTTTTTACCCATCAAAAATACCTATCACACTCTTCTGACTTACCATTCTATTTCCACGACTTTTGAAGGGCGGTGGTTTTTATACAACTTGTATAATTTCTAAAGACAACTTTCCTAACATTCTAGGCTGCTATTCGGACATTCCAACAAGCTTATGCACAAAAGATCATTCCATGACACGACATAACATCATAGACACCATGTTTTCCACTTATCTTTCTTTACTGATTTCACGTTGTACTGTGGTTTACTTGTCAGTTGTTCTGTTTTGTTATATGAGATTGAAGGGTACTTCATACTTTTCGTACGTGGTATTTTTTAACCACCAATAATTACCTTTAGTCATATACTTGTATTGTTCTCTTGTGTTACATACATTGCATCTATTACAATATAAATATGCTAATTAACTGCGTTCATTGTTCAATATCAGAAGTATCAACACCTTCATGGATGACTACGTTGGTGCACACAACGGAGTACGGTACGCCCAATTCAACGGTTATTTCAATAACCGACATGATGGCAGTCACTACAGGTAATAATCTTACACAAAAATGGCTGTCCAGAACTCACTGAGGGCGAGCGAACCACGATACTTGTTGATGTCCATTAACCCGTTTTCATTTTCTCCCGTAACCACGTCAACCATTTCTAACACCATGGTTACGTAAAGTCAGAGAAACGACGGACGCGATGACGGAACAACTACTTGGGGAATCACCAAGTCGTGCAGCTCGCTCGTTCTCAAAGAGGTCTCAGCGACTATTTACGTTTAGGTATATTAATTAATTTATAAATATGGATTTTTGAATATCTACCTTACGGTGTGGGAACAAGTGTTAGGGTAGTTTCAAATCTTGAATTTACTGCCACGGGGAATAATTTGCATAGATGCATTGAATACCATACACAAAAGCTTGATAAAGCTTCATGAGCCTGTACATCAATTATTCTGAATATTTTATCTCAAGTCTTTAACTTAATTTAACACGCACATTTTACCAAATCAACATGTTCATCAATATATTTCACGCATCTTTGCTAAATCTTGTAATCATATATTATTGTATATATTTAAACGAACACGTCAGTCACATCCATTCTCTCGACGAATGTATCTGGAAATAACTGCTACTTTCCAACAGATCATGGTTCGACAAAAGAAGCAACGTCCATTCCTACGACACTCACCGATAATTCTATCATGATATCGACGATAGATACAACGGACAGAGTTACAAGTATACCCACTACAGAACCAATAGCTGCTGTACCGTTCACCACGGTGGAAAAATCCACACAGGCGACGGACAAAATGTCAAGTACAACCTCAATCTTCCAAGCTACTCGCACGGGGCTTCCTACTGAGTTAACGAAAACCTCACCTTACATCCCTACAACGACAACCAGCAGTGAGATTTCTTCTCCGGTGTTTGCTACAGTAGCATCTCACACGTCGTTTACAACTGCCAATAATTTCCCGCCACCAACTACTGCACAGACGACAGTGCCACCTACCACGCAAGCTCTGGTATCCGAAATACCATTATCTACGTTAATGACTACGTTGACTCCTACCACAACAACTATGGCGTCAACAAGTGAAGCAACTACTACCCCAATGACTAAATTCTCGTCTCCCATGACAACTTTGGTGTCAACAATAAAATCAACTTCCCCAAAGACGACGCTGCTGTCGACCACAACAACTTTGGCGTCAACAACTTTAGGTACTACGCTAATGACGACGCTACTGCCTACTACAACAACTTTGGTGTCAACAATAAAACTAACTTCTCCGAAGACGACAATGCTGCTAACCACAACGGCACCAGTAACCAGTTCGCCTTGTAAGTTTTTCACATGATTATTTTACTATCTCTCCCGTAAGAAACATACTGTAACACACGTTCACCTCAAACACTCAACAACTTACACTTCCATGACGCAGTATAATGTATATTTCAATAAAATAAAATAATATAGCATTATTAGTGTTCTCAGTAACTATGTTGAACAATAGTGTTGTTAAACAGACTGGTAAAAACGGGAATACAATATTCTAAAAGCCTGTATGTATTCGTCCATGAACAAATCCAGTATAATTATGAACCTTTACCCGAGACAAAACTAAATGTAACTCAATATATCATATATATCTATTTCAGTTACGACCGAAACACCGTGCAGTTCTTATTGCGCCGATGTGTGCACGGTAAATAGTCTACAATCGTGTCCCTGTGACAATACGTCGTGTGGTGAGTGTACTGCATATATATTATTAATTTATTATACATCTGTCACCGTAACGCCATAAGTTACAGCGTGCCGTAATTTCCGGTATTTTACGGGGTATTTCCATCCTACCATATTAGGAAATGCGAATTCCAAATATGGAATGATTACGCTCGTAAACGTCCTATAATAATAAAAAGTTCGTTGATTCTGTTCTAAACATTTTGGATTTCGGCGTCGGTCGATACTCCAGTTGTACTGTCTTCGTTCATATTTTGAGGTATCCTTGTAATAACCTGATATTGTAACGATTCACATGGCTAATAAATAACACAGAGTCAGTGTTATAAATAGCCAACTTGCACGTCTCTTTCCTTTCCTTTTTGTATTGTTTTTTCCAGAATACCAACACATTGGTTGTTTCGGTGATTCAAGCGTGCGTGCTATACCGACGCTCGAGGGAACTGACCAACGATTAGACGGGGTATACTCATCGCGAATTAATGCTATCGAGAAATGCGCTTCCGTAGCTCGAGATAATGGTTACGCTATGTTTGCCATTCAGAATGGAGGATGGTGTGCATCAGGTTGCACAGCTTGCCAAACGTATGCGACATATGGACCCTCGGTTGCATGTGCTGGTGACGGCAAAGGTGGTGGTTATGCAAACGATGTTTACATCTTTGTAGACCAAACACCTTGACTACAAATCTAGTTGTTTTGTTTTATTTTGTTATATTCAGGTGGCTAATGTCTTTTAAAGATCGAACAATGTTAAACTAATTCAATTAATCTTAGTTTTGACTTTGCGTTCGCGTGAATAATTAGGAAATATTAATATACATATTTGATTGTTCAATTTGAGTAATGCAGTATATATGCAAAATACACAGTATGTGCCCAATGTTCTCTATGTAATGGCACTCACTCACTTTGAGCCATACACAGACACACATCTTTTGTTATGTTGATTGTTGTAAGTTGTTATGGCAACAAAGTAGTCAGTTGGTTTATTAGGCATAGATTCAAGATCGTATAATGAATGGGTAATATAGTCATAATTATTGCAATCCGGTATTAAAATGATATAATTTGTATGTGGATGTCGTTTTGATGAGAAAGTTGAAACAACATACACAAAATCAAGAACACAAAACAAACCACGTATAAACTTTACATATACTTATATAGATATTACTACAGTGTGTAGTATATTGACTTATAATGTATTTGTCGCCGTAACGCCATAAGTTACAGCGTGGCGTAATTTTTCGGTATTTTATGGGGTATTTTTCATCCTACCATATAAGGAAACGCGAATTCCAAATATGGAACGATTACGCGTTTAAGCGTCCTCCAATAATAAAAAAACAAACATAGCTGCCACCAGGGTTTGACCGGACACAAAAAAGTTCGCTGATTATGTTCTAAACATTTTAGATTTCGGCATTTCCATGATGTATCCTTGGAAGGAAAAGATGTATAATAATAACTCAGACAGTACACCGTCGAATCGACCTCCGCTGCGCGTCGGTCGATACTTCCGCTGTACTGTCTACGTGCATATTTTGAGATATTCTCTATGGTACAGATAATATCGCAAATCTCAAATTAGTTATTATTTTAAAATAACGGGTTTTAATAAAAGATACAAATATTATATTATATTGACATTGTGTTCTATAGAGTACTGTAAGACGTGTCTTTTTCGCGAATTTAGCGAGAGAACTGATTCGCTAATTTAAGATGTCGCTAATGACTTCATTATAAATTTAAAATGGCGGCCAAACAACATCTTTTTCTCCACACACACACTTTGTAAACAACACAGAAAACGTAATAATCTGGAGCGCTTCCTTATTACACTTGACAGTTTTTCTTTGTTTTTATGGAGGTGATAACTGCGCATTTGTTTTGGCAGGCGACAGACAAGTATTGTGAAAACAGGAAATCAACAAAAACAAGAGAGATTCGCTAAATCAACATTTCGCTATTACGTCATTTTACCACAATTCATTTTAATAAAATTGCATGTCGCTTTTTCAACATGTTTTACAGTAATTTTTAGGCAATCTTAGCTTCATATTGTACATACAATTGCAATGAACAAAATAGAAATGTATGAGTAAGCTTCTACATTTAATGTGTTATAATCCTGAATTAGTGTTTAAAATTCACTTTGAAAAGAGACATATACACCACATTAATAAATTTTGTCTGCGTTATATACTATATTTATTCAGAATACTAGCGTTCTCCATTCATCAACCAGGCACAACGTGATTAAATAAAAGAAAAGTGAACATTATCACAGAAACGGATGCGACATGTTGTATATTATGTCAATCACTTTTGAGACATACAATACTGAAGCATTTTCATCTATGCAACCTGCTAAAACAGAAGTTTTTTTTACAAATAATACATCTTTCCAATACATTGCGCCCTCTGGTGGCGAATCCTTTCTGTAACCTAAATGTTTGACACGAAAGTCGTTCAACACGTTCGATATCGTGATCTGTAGTCGTCTTCTAAAGACGATTGCGTTTTCACAATATTCTAGACGAGGAACGACTAAACAAACAAACACATTTGTCTATTTGAACAACATTTCCTTCACCCACCATTTTGACGCCAAACAAGAGCTCCGTCACAAGAGGGCGCAATTTACAAGAATTGTGCCTAATGTCAGATACGAGTTCTGATTCTTATAAGATATTCGCTGCACTCAGTCTACGTATTTATTTCTGGACTACATTAAACAAACAGATCAAGTTGTACAACGTTGTGTTACATGGTTCTGCAATCCGACTGCTACAATGATTACACTATGTCATTTAATTCTCCCTTTAACTTGTCAGCTGTGGTCACGGTGTAAGATTCATATCCTCGGGGGCGGAGCTACGTCACAAGACGTTCCACGTTGCTACGACGCGCACCACTGTACATGCATTTCTATGGGCTCTGTGCGCGCTGCTCTGGAACGCCGGTCGAGCCGGTGAAAATTCGAAAAAAAAAACACAAACTCAACTTTGAAGTAATCCCAAACAACCAAACTTATATATGTTACACATAGGGCTAATCTTGTTACACTGTTCAGAGGAGTCTCAACAGTTATTCCAAAGTACCGTTTTCTGCGAGTTTTGGGCCTTTGTTTTCACCGCCGCAGGTTGCCAGGCGGTGAAAATGCCCGGATGTCCGCCCCCGAGGATTGCTTAATTTCTGGGTCACTAAATTTCGTGCATTACTACTAGTATATTCACATCACGTGGAAGTTGTAAATTTCCATCATGATTTAATATTAATTACTTGTTACTGTAATTGTAAATGAACAGGAGAACATAATATCAGTTCTGTGCTCTAATATCTAAGACAAGTAATATAACTTCGGTCTATGAGATAATATTCACCGACACTGACTTACTGCAAAATTGATATAGATGACTTGAGTGGGACAGTTCGACTGGGTGTAATCTGGACTATAATATGAGGTTATTACGAGGATACCTCATAGTATGCACGAAGACAGTACAACGGGTGTATCGACCGACAAGCAGCGGAGGTCGATGCGACGGTGTACTGTCTGAGTTATTTTTATACATCTTTACCTTCCAAGGACACATCATGGGAATGCCGAAATCCAACAAGTTTAGAACTGAATCAGCGAACTTATTTGTGTGGAGTCCAGTCAAACCGGCAGCCATGTTTGGTTTTATTATTAGAGGATGTTTACGTACGTAATCATTCCATATTTGGAATTCGCATTTCCTAATATGGTAGAGAAACGACATGTATAATGTGTCGTGATTGGGAGAACTCTTCGGAGAATGTGTCTGCGTCAGTGTCTGAAGCAGTGAATGGGTCAGTATATCCCAATACATCCCAGAAATACATAATACCTAAAAAAAAGACAAAATCATAGAATATTATTGTACTGCAATATAGCAAATTATCCTCTTTTTCTGTAATATTCTGTAGTTGGTAATTATGAAAATTATTTTATTGGTCCATAGGGAATACATTTCGTTATGTATTATTTCCAATATATTTCTGAATTATCTTGTCAAAACCGTTTTTTTCAAGTTCGTTTTTTCTCCTAAAAAACAAAAGAATTTCTTAATGTCAAAAACGGAAAGTCTTTATCGTTAGTGTTTGACCTACAAAATGGCAACTATCTACTAAAACAAAACTATCATTTTCTCGAAAATGTGGTTGGTGACCCCAACCGGCTAACCCTGGTATTTGCATCAAGTTTATGAATAGGCTTCTATCTTAACAACTTTTAATTTATAATCATACTTTGTTATTGTAGCGCCATATCATTTTCCTGTTCCGTTCAATGACGCCGTGTGATTTCTAGTGATTTGTGATTGTGATGAGCAGATTTACTTTTTGATATAATGGCCGACAATTTTAAAATACAAAAATATCTCAACATATTGAGGAGTTCTACCATTGACGCTGCAGGTCGGCGTCTTCTACACCGATCTGACGCATATCGCGCAAGGTGTGTCGGGAGTTTGTTCGAAATTTCGAACGTTTCGACGTCAATCGTCGATTTCCACGTATTTTACGGATATATTAAATCGTTTCAGAGACCTGTTTACTAAATAATGATAAATGAAACTTAGAAAACTTGTAAGAACAAACTGGGCCCAAATTGCGCAAATTGCAATAAGTTTACGCTGCTAGAGTCTGGTTCGGATGGAGTTCTACGCGTGATTTTATTGCGCTCAAGGACGTTCTATTTTCGAACTAGTTGAAACCGGAAATAACGCAACTACTTTCGAACTTCAAACGCAAATTTGATTATCGTTATTATGTGTTAGTTTCTGTTGTTTCAAAGATTGAATTATGTATGACAATAATATTTCACTCTATAAACAATGTTTCACTAAAATATGTGATTCAAAGGCAACCCAAATTGTAAAAAGCAATATCAAGTTTCGCGTATAAACACTGTTGTAAAGAGGCGGCGGAGCGGAATTTTAGCCAAAATCGGCTAGTAAGGCGTCTTCTATGCTATCGATAAAGAGCCATTGCTCGAAACGTCTAGCTATTTTTAATAGTTATTTAGGACTACGATTACCAAATATTATCTTCTATATGTCATATGACACAGGTTTGTGCTGGGACAGCGCTTCCGGTGACGACACAACGGGAGTTCTACACTATATCTAGAATGGTAGTTAAAAGGCGGTAGTCGTCGTGCCGCGCATGCGTGGGATATATGGGTCTCATATAAACAAAGATGGCGATCAACGAATACAAACTGAGATGTTACCAAGCTTTAATTAGGTATTTTTTAGGTGATTGGAACGCATCGAACTAGTCGCCGGCGGTAATTAATGCAAATCGCGCCCAGGTCAAATCTCATACTTGTGATTTCCATTAGAAGAGCGCACTGGATTATGGGAAAATCAATGTTTATCAACACAAATGCCGCAAATGCGCAGCGCGACAACTATAGCCCTTTAAATTAAATCGTATATTTTCGGCGCACGAAGTATAATTATCTAAAACATAATTTGGTCTTCACCCATGTCCAATGAAGCTACGCCGTCGACTGCATAAACTCCACTAATTGAATTGTCTCTAAAATTAATGAATATGTTTTAAAAAATGCATCTAAAATGTGTTAATTTATTAAATGGCTTCAGAAATAAACATACACCTTAAATTATGTTCGATGTATTTTACACG